TGAAAACAAATTGTATATATGTTACTTTCGCATGCGATTGGAAAAAGAGAAAAAATGTTTGTTTTTATTCCCAATACATATAAAGTAGGTTACAAATCAGGAAGTCAATCCATTTTAAGTGTCATTCACAATCACCACATCACGTGCGTCTGCATGGTAAGCGTCATATTGTTATGTCTCTGTTCGTTTGATAATTTCCCGTAAAAATTCTTTCCGAGAAACTTCAGCGATACAAGTCTTTTCTTAAATAAAATTAATTTTTTCTTTTTCAATTCAACTCTGCAATACATTTAATTTCCACAGTCACTTTAACTTAAACACACGCTATAATTCACAACGAACGATTTACGCATTTACTTACGACTTGACTCGATTATCTGTCTCTATCTCTTCAATCTGCAATTATTCATGTCTATGCCGTCACTTCTCGCCGGTCATATATATACGAAATAGAGGGCGTCTGGAGAACACTCGAGGCTTCACGAACAGACATGATCTTTCTAGATTCTCATGACGTGTTACTAGCGCCACGTGCCTTCCGCTGTCGTAACGATATTTATAAATATGGTGATGCTATCGCTACTACTACTTTGGAAACTGGCATTTTTCATGATCATATTTTTTGGTTAATGAATAATGTAAGAATGAAAAACGCAAATTTATTGGTGAATGGTAATACTTTATTGCTACAGTAACATAATTCAGATTTCTCAGAATAGCCTACCACATTTGGGAACGATGAGAGTAAAGCAGCTGACAACCATACGGTCTTCAACACTTTCAACAATAGTACTTAAAGAACACAATGTAAAAAAATAATTGAATATGATGACAGTAATAATAATATATGTGCTAATATGAAATAATAAATCTCTAATAATAGAAGATAATACGTCCCTTATTATTGGTTCAATTTTATTATTGTTGTTACTTGTTATTTGATTTCAGTAGAATCAGCTTCTCAAATTTTTTATCTATCAATCCAGGTCTTTATGACTTCAAAACATCTTTCCCTCTTGAGAAAATACGTTCTACAGCTGTACTTGATGGAATGAGCGTATTGAGGTAAATGAAGAGAGATTTAAAAAACGGTGAAGGGAACAAGCTTGATTCTATATATATTGAAGTAGATGGTTCTTTTCTCAGGAACAGTGTTTTTTGATCGTTCCTAGTTTGGGACGAATTACATGCAGATTTTGCTTGTTGTTTAAAGCACACGAAGAAATCCTCTTCATCATCTCCCTCGGTGCTCGAAAATGACGAAAAATCACTTAAATCAACGTTTGCTGAACTTTCATCGCTGCTGCCTTCCACAGGACCAGATTAACACATGAAGTACTCGAGGCCATGGCCTAGGGCTCCTTGCTTTCATCACTATATATTATTATATTAATAGATTAAATTGAATTAGAAATTTCGAATAATTGAAAAAAAAAACACATAGTAAGAAATAAACTATTTTTTAACATCATGATGAAAAGTATGATGTATATTCCGTACGAGATCAAATGAAATTCACAATTTGATCATATTTTCATCATCATACTAGCGCTTGCACATCATGAATTTTGTCATATAGCACTGTGCTTATAAAAGTTTTTACTACAGCGACCATTCTGAAAGGGTAAAAGAAATTGTATAAATATTTGAATGATGGAATAATAAAATTAATTTTGCTTTTAATTTTGGAATACAGGCTTATTTCTCTTGGTAATAATATATAAATATATGTTTTTGTTTACTAATATCATTTAATGTTTGAATATTTATTGGTCATTTTCACTAGTTATTTGCTCATAAAAATATTAATTTTTTCATTTTTCTCAATATTTATATTTTTCCATTTTCATTATATTTTATTATTTGTAAACATTTTGGTGTAACACATTTACAATAATAAAAATCTAAATAACACTTAGGTAAAGCAATAAAATTGGGAAACAGTCCATATTCTGTGTTGAAAACTATTTGGAACTTGCAACTGGTGGATACGTTTCTGAATGTTGATATACCCCTACGCATTTACTTGACACTGCCTTGTGCTAATGTCGAGAGCGAGCGCTCATTTTCGGCCGTGAAGAGGATTAAAAAACACCTTGTGATCTACAATGGATAAAGACAGATTAAATTATCTTCCCGTTCATGGGGCCCGCGCTAAACGTTCTCTTTTGTGCGTAGGGGCCCACAGTAGGTTAATACAGCACTGGTCTTCCATCTTCTCTGAAAGTTTTTTACTCATCAGCTGTGTTACAGTTTCTTTCCTAGCGTTTGAGCTAATTCAAACCAGTTTAAACCATGAGTGAAAAGCAACTGCGAGAACTTGATCCTCATTAACAAAAACAGCTTCAAAGTGCTTCTGAATTCCTGAAATCAAAGCTTGCAAGTCTGGAGTGTTTTACCAGAAAGATCTTTCAGTTCTGTGAAACATGCAGAAGTGTTGGCAGAAGTAGTCCCATATAAGCCTTAGTTTCACTTTGAAGTAAATCCAGGTCGCATGACCATTACATATTCTCTGATGAAGTATTTATCCGAAAGATTGGAATGAGCGATGCCCAGCTCATCACATATTTTATTGAATGAACCATATGGTACATTGAATTCCACCATGTAGTACATAAAACAACAAAATATTCACCTAGTTCTTGTTCTATGTTCCAAAGCATCTGAGATTTAATAAGTGCTGATCGTGACACTTTCTTGAGCATACCATCACTCAAAGCCTTTTCTACATAACTGGTTGCTACTAAGTTGAGTACTGCACATCGAAGACGCTCAGGCAGAAAGCAAACCTCACTGGACTCTGTCTCACTACTAATGATATCGGGAATGCTGTGGAAGTTTATCTCATTTTGTTGTTCTTCACCACTTGACTCGAGTGTGCTTTGCTTGGCTTTGGAATCACTTTCATCACTACCTACAGGTTCAGCCCTGCAAAAACAAATTGCAGAATATAAAAAAAGAGATGTGTATGTGATGTGTGGCATGGCATATTAGTACCATCTTTGGCATGGTATAATAATGATAATTTAATTTTTATATAGTTCTCCTCTAGCTGTTGCCTGCCATTCAAAGCACCTGTCGCTGACTTATCTCTATATTAGTCGAAAGCCAGGTAAAGAAATACGACTTCAAAATACTTTTAAAAGACATGACAGACTTTGCACATTGCAGCTCAATAAAAAGAGTGTTACAAGGCTTAGGAACATAGACAGAAAAAGCACAATCATCAAAACGTGAGAAAGTGAGATAAAGAGAGAAACAGTACTGGTATTAATATATACTAGCCTTGGCTCATGAAACATTTGCAGTAGTTTTCATGCCTTTCCTTATTTTGTCATTTTCACGAACAGCATTTAAGATATGCTTTCTTGCAGGCATTATGTGAGACTGATAAATCCTGTTCTATTTGAAAAATCCCCCCAGTGGCACAGCAGTATGTCTAAGGACTTACAATGCTAAAAATCGGGTTTCGATACCCGTGGTAGGCAGAGCACAGATAGCCCATTGTGGAGCTTTGTGCTTAACTACAAACAAATTATTTGTAAAAAAAAATTACGTGGCCAGACAAACATTCACATAGATGTAACTTTATTTAACTCTCTCACTATGAGCATCTTTTTCTTTGCAGATCATGAAGTTTTAGTGACCTACATTCAAAACTTAATGAAACTACTTTATTATCATGGTGTATGAATAAATATAGTATAAAAATGTAGCTGATAATCCATATTTTAATAGCATATAAGAGTTAAGTTCTTAAATTTATGACATATAAGGTAATATTTAAAAAATCCTGAATTTCCTCAAGTGTGAAAATATCTCTCCAGACATCCTCTCTTCTCTAATTTATTCACCACTTCTCCAAAAAGTACGAATTTCAACGTAAATTACTCGTTATAATTTTGTAAAGCCAATATACTATCCCGACTCCTCAGACAAAAGTCTTTCTAATGATATGAGATTTGTGGTGTTTGATTAAGAAATTTACAAGAAAAGGTCTTGACAGAGAGACAGACGCAACCATATTATTTATATAGATTAAGATTAATATATATTATATAAAGTATTCATTGACATAAAATATACTAATAAACAAAATATACTATAAAAAATACTGTACCTAACCTGAATATCTTTACAAAGTTGGACCCATTGTCAGTAGTGGTGTTGGTAATCTTGTTTTAAATGCAATATTTAATGTGTACTGCTTCTAGTTCCCTGACGATCAATTCATAGGTGTGGTGGTCAGTGAGACAGCAGCAAACTAGCGCTTTATATTCAGGCTTTCTCAGTCACACCCAGATAGGATCTGTAAATGTAAACAATACAAAGCTAAACTAATGGATGCAAAACAGTACACCATATACATTCACTGCAGATGCTATGTTGAAGCTTATTTCGAGACTCGTTCTATTATTAAATGCTCTAAGCTTCTGAAACAACAATAATTTTTACTATCTGTAAAATGAAAAATGTTTACAATTTATTACAATTTATCTGTTGCAGCAGCTCCAACAGTCAGCTGTGGTTTCGAGCCACTACTGAGCAAAGCTTCTATTTCAGGTCATATTTTTCTGAGCGAATTTATCGTTAATTGATCATGTTAAGGCTTTCCTACTGAAAACTGTTTTATTTGGCTGTAATGTCTGAATAATATTTTCCAGAATTTGCAATTCAACAAATTTGAAAAGACGCATTTCCTTAAAGACCTAATCAGTTACGAGTGCATTTATTTTACACTAGCTAACTCTTCTGGCACTAGCTGCAATGAAGGCTCCAAGAGTTGATTGTTCTGCTTCATCTTTCCCAGTTTTTCTCTCACTAGAAGTACAAGTCCCTGTCTCTGTTGCTCCGGTTGACCATTTGCTTGACTTGTTTACTTCCATTCCTCTCTTGATTCACAATGCAAAATCTTTGAGTTTATGGGAATGTTTGTAACTAAAGTGTTTCTTTATATTAAAAGTGATTTCTTATTGGCACTGTAAATATTCTTTTTGGGCAAAACAACTGTAACAAAACATTTTGGGATTGAGATCCACTTGCACTTTCACTTCTAACAAAATCAAAATAGTCTTTTATGTACAGCCAAGGATGGCTGCTTCCACGATTAGAATCACTGTTTAAAACTTATGTAACAGAAACATTTATTTTTTATTGGATTCAATTTTATAACATTAGCTAATGTACATGGCGACGGAACCTCGCGCTAAATGTCACTTTGACGGAATGACGAACGAAAATAAGGAAAAATGACCTCTGATTGCCGAAGAGAACAAGTTCAGTCCTAATGCAACAAGTGCACGACAGCAACTGAATCACATTTGTAACACATTTGATTGTTTTTATAAGCAAAATACAGTTAAAATATAATTATATACAATATATTATACAAAATATAATATACTAAACTATATATATATAATTTAAATAAATATTTATATATATATATATATATATGTTTAATAAATATATGTCTTGGATTTAGTAACTATTTATCCAACATGAAATGTAAACTAGCCAGTTCATATGAATATCTTGTATTATCAGTTGAAACGTATTAGCCAAGAAAGGTTTCTGGTAGAATTGTCCAACTCAGAGAGTTAATAAAACATTTAAGAGTACTTTCAAACTATATTTTTAGATAATATACCTTCTAAATTAATATTAAATTAAACTGAATATATAAACAGTAAATATTAAATTTGATAATATTATAAACAAATACAAAGAACGCTTTGTATATATATATATATACATATACTATCTGGTATTATGTCACGGATAGCCAGCAAACCATCACTGCAGATCGAGCAGCTGAATATATCAAGTAGCATAGGCGAAACAACATATATAATATTATGTATAACAATATATAATAATTATATATATACAAACGTATATAAGTATACAAAGTATAATCATACACAAATGATTATAATATATATTTTCTATTCTAAATAAAGCGAGTAGCGCTTTGCATAGACGAAAAATGGAGCGACGCTACCGGTAATGGCGATGAATTTTCAAATATAGCGTCGATCCACTAGTCGCTCCTGGAAACATAGTGGCGCTAGTCATAGCTTTGGATGGCGACTTCCGATGAAAGTCAAGATATTTATACAAAAACGTTGTGTACATTTATATTCATCCTATGTTTTTACAATTATTAACTTTGATTCAAAATACAGCAACTTCATATTCTGCGTAGTAGGGTTTTTTCATTCATGTTCAATTGCATAATACAACAACAGGGTTAATTAAACGATTTGTCTAATTAAAACATACTGTTACGCCTCTGTGTTCGTTTGTTAATTTTCCGTAAAAATTCTTTCCACAGAAACTTTAGCGATACAAGTCCTTTCTTAAATAAAACTTTTCTTAAAAAAATTCACGAATCTTCGAGAATATGACGTGTTACTAGCGTCACGTGACCCCCGCTGTCGTAACACTGTCCCTTCCTTAGTACAATAGCCACTTACATTAACTTAATTAAATGTACAGAATTTATAAACACAAAATTAAAATTCAACAAAGTCTCTTAATTTCACGGGACGTATTTTCTTCCGTACTGGTCTCCGTCGCGTTGGCTTCTGCTTCA